GGAAAGAGTCAGGAATGACAGCTTGGGAAGTGAGAGTAGGGAGTTACTTTTAGAGGTGATGAAAGTGTTCTGAACTTACATAGTGGTAATGCACAACTCTCAATATACTAAAAAGCACTGAACTGTTCACTTTGAAAGAGTGAACTTTATGGTGTGTAAATTATATCTCAATAAAACTGTCATAAAATATGTCCATGTATGTAAATTTATGATTACTTTTAGACATTATCCCTCTACATTAGCCTTTGTTATAGATTGCGTTCTGTGCCCCCAGTTCAGGTGTTGAAGACCACGGTCTTACAAGCAGAGGAAGCAAGGGCCAGCAGTGGCGTGGTGAAGGCAGACGGATCTCACACGCCAGCTGCATGATTTGAGTCCCGATATGGTGGCTTGAAAAGACATACCAGGCACGTGTGTGTGAGTGCCCAAAACCCTGAGAAGAGAACGATCATGTGCCACTGCGGGGGGTGCTTACTCATCATCCCTCCACCCCTAAGCAGGCACACACACCCTATAACAAATAGGGAAAAAAAAAAAGAGGAAGCAAGAAAAAGTAATTCCCCTCCCATAAGCCATGTGAGGGCACAATGAGAAGGTGGCCATATGCAAGCCAGAAAGAGCCCTCACCAGAACTCGGCTTGCTGGCTCCAATCTTCAATTTCCAATCTCCAGGACTGGGAGAAAATAGATTTCTTGCTTTAAGGCCCCCCGGTCTACAGTATCGTATTATGGCAGCCTAAGCCAGCTAAGACATCTCGGTCTAGTCTAGAGACCAAGGATTGGTTTTAGGATTGGTCAAAGATTGCACTTAGGATTTCCATTATTCCTAAAACTACAAGAGGGAGGACAAGAGGGAGTACAGGAATATAATTTCTAGCCTAAGAACCAGAGAAAAACCTTCACTTTTTTTGCAAGAATGTAACTTTAGAACCATAGTATTCTATGTCTTATAGCCCACTGTCAAAATTGCTTATCTCCATGTTTATGTCTTGGTTTTTCATTTCCTCAGGAAAGCCTTTCTCATTCAGTGCCAACAAAAGTAACTCCGTGCTCAGCCTTGGGACTTGGCGCCTTCCTGCTGACTGCTGAGCACACACTCACAGGAGAAATTCTAAGCAGGTAGGAGGAGAACACTACTGGTATAGACAAAATGAGACCAATTCAACAATAAAGCCATCTAGAAGAAACTGTTCAGAGAATGTGAAGATTGAAAACATTCACAAGAATGTTAACATAACATAATCATCCTTTCCTGTTCTCTGTTATCATTTAAAAAAAAAAAAATGGTCCCTGCAGTAGATTTGTAACAAGAGTGTTGAGAGCACCAGGGCTGCAGAGGTTACCGCTGTATCATGTGAGACAAAACGAAAGTCTGTAAAGGGCTGACTTACTGTAGGTGACCAGTCGCCCTCACAATAAAGTTCCAGTTGACATCCCTGTGTTCTGAAGGTTTAAATGGGTATTTCTATGAGCTGAGAGAGCACTTGAATTTTTCTCTTATCCAGTCATGTGTAGCTTAACTAATGGATGAATTTGTTAGACTCCTTATCTTGAAATAAGGAATTCAACTATCACATTAGAAACCAAACAGAAAAAAAAAAAAAAAGCAGCCCCAAAACTCCTCAGTTCCTTCTCTAGAGATGTAACACCTTACTGCTGCTTCAACTGCCCCAGGAGGCCTTGGAAGAGTCTAGTCTACGCTTACCTTGCCCGTTCCCATATTTTAGATATGTGCACACGCACAAAATGGAAATGAAGGAAAAGGAAAGAAACATATTGGATGTATGTGGTGAGGGATGAGGAGGGACAGGGAGCAGTTTTAAAGTCATACTTACAAATGGATTTCTCAAATGCCAGATATTAAAATGAAGGTGAAAAACAATTGTCAGGAAGAAGAAGAATTTACCTTTGAAGAATCAACTCTGCTTGTTGTTCAGAAACAGTTAGACCTAGTGTCTGCAGAGACTGGACAATTTCTGAAGCCTCAATTTTTCCTTTAAAAAAATGAAAACATCAACTCAGAACTGATAAGAACTTTGGAAATGAATTTCAAATCTCTCATTGAAAAGAAAACTTTGAGTTGTTGACCACAAAGGTATACATTTAGGTGAATTTAGATTTGCTCAAATACATACTCAATATCAATACTCAAAATTTAACCAATACATTAAGCAAGTACACACATATTATTTCATTCAGTAATCACAATGCTTTACATATACTGGGTCATCAGGAAAGTCCTGACGTGTTCTTGCATAGAAAAATTCTTCACGACTTTCTCAACACCCCAATAGAAACCTGGAGATTTTAAAAAGTTCATGGGAAAATATAATTCAAGTACAAATGTATTTGGTTGCAAAATAATTTGAAAGCCATGTATAATTTTTTTCATAATATGCATGTCCCATGAAATTCCTGAAGCTCTCTCATATTCCTCTGACGAGACTGTGAGCTCAAGTGGCCTGACCAAGGAATGCAATTAAAAAGAGGCAGCTGAGATCAAAACTGCAATATTCTAACCGCAAGGTAAACTTGACTGAATTAGGAGTTATTCATTTAAAAGTATCTATTTCCATATTTCAATGAGTGACTAGACATTTATTATGCATAAAGTCGTAATATTATATCAGGGATGCCTTAAAAAGAGGAAGAAGCAAAGCCAAAAACCAGGAACTATTCTTTGAGAAATCTGGTAGTAGAAATGAAGATAGGATGATAAAGGAGAGACCTTTTTAGCACTAAGGAAATTATTTGTAGGCAGGGGAACAATCAGAAGAGGAGGGGGAGAAAAATGCAAGATGCCATAATGTGAAGCGTCACTGCCTTTGAGACAGGATGCAAGACTAACGCACACAAAACAGGACAAAACGAACAAAGCAAAGGCAGAAAGAGCTGATGCCAATGCAGCATTAACTGCAACTTCTCCGGAAAATAGGAAGACAAAAAGTGTTAGTTACTAGGAAAAGGAAAGGTGTCACCTAAATAAAGAGCCTTGAGAAAATGACAGGATTCTGGGAGAATCCTCCCGGGAAGGGCAAGAGTAGCCCGAGAATCTGGTCCATGGGAGAAAAGCGAGAGGCGCCATCCGGGACCGCTCAGAATGCTCTCCTTTACAATCACACTCTTCTTCCTTCCCTCCCCTCCCCTCCCCTCCCTCTCCTCTGTCTTCCTTCCCCCCTCTTTCTTTCTCTCTCTCTCTCTCTCTTTCTATCATTTGCCAGAAAGTATGTGCACTTATCAGAGAGTAAGTGAGAAAGAACCTCCCCACCCAGGGCCAGCCCACAGCCTGGCTGTTAAGGCAGCTGGCCGCTGGATCCTACATGTTCAATCCCATGGTTCAAGATCTGAATCTAGTGGCATGGAAAACATGCCAGGCGTGTGGCACAGGCATGCCCAAACTCCCCATAGGATGGAGAAATGGGAGAAAGGATTGTGACCATGCCCCATGGGGGTGCTTTCTTGCCTTCTCTCTCTGTGTCTCTGATGAGCGCACATGCCCTGGGGCAAATTAAAAAGGAACGGAGAAAGCGCCCCTCCCCCCATGGAATATGGTCACATCTCGATCCCTTCGCCTCCATTTTTCCCCCTTTTCAGGATTTCGAGCATTCGAGATGTACCTGGCACAGTTTTCAAGCTGCCAGGTCTGGGACTTTAACTGTGCGGTCGACCGTGTGGGGATACAAACAACTTAACCATCAGGCCATGGGCTGCCCCTACAGCCACACTCAAGAGAAGTAGTCAGTTCTCGTTATTTGTGGTAGTTGGGTTCTACCAGGTCACTGTGAATACTGGATTGGCAAACACCGAACCACTGGTCCTAAAGAAAATGCAGTGTTAGGTTCCTGTGAACCTCTGATCACAATGTTCTCCTCAACCAATCAGTACATAACCTTGTCTTGTGTGTGTGTGTGTGTGTGTGAGTGTGTGTTTAAAGGCACCTCATTTAATGTGTATTATTGATTCACTAACATTAAACGCACAGCAAAGCTTGTCTAATGCACATTGTTTTCACCACAGCCTTCCTGCACTTCAGCATTATGTTTGAGGAACATTTTAAAAAGCAGAAGTACCACGTAGGCATTAAATCTTTCAGATTCACCCACTTTCTATCAAATGACAGGGTCTCATTGTTTTTTATGACTGAGTAGTATTCCATATGTGTGCCACACTTTTCAATCCATCCATCGGTTCTTGGACATTTGGGCTGATTCCAGGTTTTAGCAATTGTGAATAATGCTGCAATAAACACAGATGTGCAAGTGTTCCGCCAACTGAGTGTACTCCTGTCCTTTGGGTACTTAGGAGTGGAATTGCTGGATCATATGGTAATTCTTTTGTAGGCAGGTCTTTGAGGAACCTCCACATTGTTCTTCACAGTGGCTATACCACTTTACATTCCCACCAACAGTGTGGGAGCAAACCAGACTGTGAAAGAGAGGCATTGTATGACCCACTTAACATAAACCGAAAGTCTGACTCTGTGGTAGAAAACTGAAAGGCTGGAAGGCATAAAAGCATGGGCAGCCACTGTTGACACCAGAAACCGTTTGGGTCAGGGCAGGAAGTCAGAGAGTAGTGGTAGTAGCAGAGAATCAAGGAAATGGACAGATAAATAAATAAATAAATATTTTAAAACTCTATATAATTTAGATGAGTCCCAAGAATGATTACCATAGACTCATAAGATAATAAAATTATATTTCATTTAAAGATTAAAAACAACAACAACAACAACAGGGACCAGCAGCTGGCATAGTGGTTACATCGCTGAATTCCCACTTGGATGATCACAGTTTGAATCCCAGACCCAGTGGCTTGAAACTCACGCCTGGCACATGTGCATGCATGCCCAACATCCAGAGAGAAGAATGGAGAAGGGACTGTGGTATAGCCGTCCACCCTGGGGATGTCTGTCTGTCTGTCTCTCTCTCTCTCTCTCTCTCTCCACAGCGAGTGCATGCACCCTATGGCAAAAACCTCTTGAAACACAACAAAGTGAAAGTAAGCCCAGCTGCTGTGGCACAGCAAAAACGGTAATGTCCTACAGTTCTGGAAGCCACATGATGATTGTGTTTCAGATCCCAGGTTGGTCTAAAAAGCACACAGGTTGTGCATCCCGGTGCCCAGGGTCCTGGGGGAGCTGGACAGTTGAGGAAAGGGGATCACAGTATGATGAGACCTTATCAGAGGTGCTCTCTCCCTCCTGTTCTCTTTCTTTCTCTCATGTACATACACAAGCTTTCTATCTTTTTTTTTTTTTAAAGCCAAAAAAGGGACCAGTAGGTGGCATGGTGGTTAAGGCACTGGATTCCCACATGGCTGATCGTGGTTCAAGCCCCAGACCCAGTGGCTTCACAATCACATTGGGCATGCGTGCGTGTGTGCCCAAAATCCCAAGGGGAGAATGGAGGCGAAGGGATTGCAGCATGGCTATCCCCCCAGGGATAGAGGGGTATTTCTTACTTTCCCTCTATCTGTCTCTCTCCAAATTTTTCACTGTTCTGTGCGTGCCATGAGTGACCAGGGAAGCACAGCCCATACACATTCCAGGGTTTATTATCTTGGGGTTAAATTTTAGTGAGAAGGCAAATTCACAAATACTGAATCCATGGATGATGAGGATCTGCATATGCATTGCTTAAGGAAGTCTGAGCAATAACAATATGAACCTATAATGAGAAACTATTATGAAACATACAAACAAAATAAATTAAGGGAACATTGTTCACATTTACTACAAATGTATCATTAAAAATGTAATCTTTGGGACCAGCAGTTGGTATAATGGCTACGTTGCTGGACTCCCATGTAGTAGACCACGGTTTGAGTCCCAGACCCGGTGGCTTAAACTCACACAGGGAAAGTGTGCATGTGTGTCCAAGATCCCAAGAGGAGAATGGAGGAGAAGGGATTGCAATGTGGCCAGCCCCCCAAGGGTGATTTCCTGCTTTCTATCTCTCTCTGTCTTTCTAGTGAGTATATATTCCCTATAGAAAAAAAAAAAAAAAAACCTCTCTAAAAAAAGTAATCTTTAATGATTTACTCTGGCTCATTTTAGAATTTTCTGAAACGGGCAAGTGATGTGTGCACGACTTACACACAGGATGACCCCCCTCTAATTATCTGGCAGTCGATCTTGCGGTGGCTCTATCTTCTAGCTACTGCCTGACCTCCATCCGTGTACAAGATGGTCTAACCTCTGCAACTGACTTATATGTAGAGGGTCCAGGTTGGGACAAAAGTTTGCAAGGAAGAACTGAACTTTGCTAGAAGACTGCTTAAGGTTAGACTTGGGGGCATATAACATAAGGCTTATTAGAGGCAACAAACATTCCAATGCCATTACTTTCCACTTCAAACTCAGCTCTTCCTGGCTGAGAGTCACAGACTTGAACAATCGTCAAAACCATTCAAAGGATTTCGCTGTTTGTTTTTTGTTTGAAGGAATTTAGCTGAAACTAAGATATAGTATAAACCAGGGTCTGGCAAACTATAACCCTCAAGCCAAATAAGGGCTGTTGACTGTTTTTACAAATAAAATTTTATTGGAACACAGCTCTCCCCATTCCTTTACATACTATCCACAGCTGCTTTTGAAGTACACAGTAGAGATGAGCAGCTACGGAGACAACACAGCCCAAAAAGCCAAAATATCGATCATTAAACTTTTACAACAAGAGTGTGAGGACCAGCAAATGGCATAATGGTTACATTGCTGGACTCCCACATAGTCAACTGCTGTTCAAGTCCCAGGCCCAGTGGCTTGAAACACATGCTGGGTGCATGTGTATGTGTGCCTAAAATCCTGAGAGGAGACTGGAAGAGAAAAGATTGCAGTGTGGCCATCTCCTCTGAGGGGTAATTTCTCACTTTCTGTCTCTCTGTCTTTCCCTGTCTCTCTAGCCAATGCACACACCATACAGCAAAAATCTCTCTCAAAAAAAAAAAAAAAGGGAGTGCCAACTGCTGATATGAGTCATCTCTTCTCTATTTATTTAACATATTTCTTGAATAACAAGTCTGTGAATAGACTGACCCCAACTAATGACCCCAAGTAGGGAGGGACTTGGAACTGCATTCTAACTTTTGCAAATTCCCTCCTATGCCAGGTAGCCTCTGCTCTTGAAAGTATCATGACTCTTCCCTCTCTCCTCCATGGCCCTTGCCTTCTTCCTTACAGTACCAGGTCTCTAACTTCAAGGTACTAATCTAAACAGAAAAACTATCATCTCAACCAGAAGGTACATACCTAAATGTCTATAGAAAAACATAGAAAAAATATGTTATGACTTTTCCAACAACCTAGCATGTGCTTTTTTTTTTTTACCCATTTTTTAGGATCAGAGAATATCTTCTCAATTAATTCTTTCAAAAAGACTCCCAAATGTAAGATTATCTGAAAGTGTTTTCAATTTTAGAATGCACACTATTCATGCTTATACATAAACAAAAATAAATCTTTTACCCAATGGGCATTAAAACATAGTTATCATTTTCATAATTATTTTATTTAAATGTATTCATCATTATTATTAGGTTTCTTTCTTTTCTTTCACTTTAAGTTGACCAGAGAGAGACTGAGAGAGAAAGAGAGAGAAAGAGAAAGTGAGAAAGCAAGTTGTCAGATCCGGGACTCAAACTGTGGACAGCTATGGGGGAGTCCAGCACCTTAACTACCACACCACTTGCCAGCCCCCATAATTATCATATTTAACCCATAGCTTTAAGCTACACTGGCATCATGTTCCAAAGTTAATGTTTTATGGCAGGTCCTACCCACAGCTTTTAATTCAGTAGACAAAATTATTACAAGTTTTCTTCACTAAAAAAATGTGAACTATACATGAAAATTATACTGCTAAGAAAAACAAGTGTTAACACAAGTAATAATTATCATTGAAAAAGGAGAGACTAAATATGCATTGTTTTAGAGCCTTGGAAGCATGAGAAGTGCTTATTCATATCTGGTGATGCACAGAAAAGAAAGACTCACCATCATTATTTTTGTCCAAACTCTTAAATGCCAATTTCATTTTTTTCTCATGGTCTTTAAGGTACTTCATAAATTCTTCAAAGTCCAGCTTTCCATCTTTGTTGATATCTCCAGTAGTAAAAATTTTCTATAAAATAAAATAAATTAGGCATATTTTACTGCCAGTAAGGACTAAAGAGCTAAATTATTCACACACACTTCAAGCAGATTGCCTGTTTTCCTATAAAACTAAAGTACTGATATTTTGGCCAGATATGTTGTCATCCATTACAGTAAAAACCTACAATAAATATAACAATGCCACTGCAAAAAGATTCCAGATCTTGTGTTAAATTTTCAAGTAGAGAAATGTTACATTTATTTTTATAAAATATGGCTTTCTTTTTTGTTGGTTTGCCAGAGGGCACCGAGAGAGAGAGAGAGAGAGAGAGAGAGAGAGAGAGAGAGAAAGTACCCCTCCATGGGGGCATGGTTATAACATAATCTCTTGCCCTTTGTCTCCCCTCTATCTCTCCCTTCTTTCAGGATTTTGGACATGCATGCACACATGCCTGGCATGTTTCTCAAGTCACTGGTCCATTCAGGATTCAAACCACATGGTTGGCATTGTGAGATCCAGCTGCCTTAACCATCAGGCCACAGGCTGGCTCTAAAACATGGCATTTTTAAGGCTAGCGTAATCACACCTTAAATTTCTTGACACGTATGTTAAAACCTTAAGACAAGCACTTGACCTAGCATATAATTTAAATGTTTAAAATAGTATTCCTCCCTTTGATTTCCAAAATTAAATAATATTGGGGCCAGCAGGTGGCATGCTGGTTAAGGTCCTCGATTCCCACATGGCCAACTGCTGTTCGAATCCTGGATCCAGTGGCTTGAAAATCACACTGGGCCCATGTATGTGTGTGTGTGTTCAAAATCCTGAGAGGAGAATGAAGGAGAAGGGATTGCAGCATGGCCATTCCCCCTGGGGGGTGATTTCTCACTCTCACTTTCTGTCTCTTTCTCTCTCTGGCAAGTCCACATACCCTATGGTAAAAACCTGAAAATAATAATAATATTTTCCTCATAAACAGTTGTCATTTCACACAGTCTATTTCTGTTAATATTATTAATAACAGGAATCACGACTTTCTGAAAAGGAGAGCTTAAGAAATTTGACATTACATGCAAGCCCTCTTTTACCAGCACTCAATATACAAGCTTCCTACTTATTAATACATAATCACTGGGCCAGCACCATGGCCTAGCAGTTAAGGAGCCAGATCCCCTGGCCAATCATGGTTCAAATCCTTGCACTAGCACTTGAAAAGCATGCCAGGTGCATATACATGCACACCCAAAACCCCAGCAGGACAAAGAAATGGAAGAGAAGGGAATACAGCATGACCGTGTCCCATTGGGGGTGCTTTCTCCCTCTCCCTTTTTTGTCTCTCCATTTCTCTCTGGAGAGCACAGCTTCCTGGGGGGAAAAAAAATCATTATCACCATCTAAAGCTTACAAATTCTACTGATCTAATGGTCATGCTCTTTGGGGTAAATAATGCCACACTGTGGAAGGGTAGTGTAATGGTCAGACCTCCAAGCTCTAGACTCAAAGAGAAAGGTGTGAAACTTGTAAGCTACAACTAAAAGCTACACTTAGAGAAAAAAAATCATGGTTTTAAATTTAAGAAGGAGAAAGGCTAGCAATCAATGATCAGTCACCTACCTCATGCTCAAAAAATCAGAAAAACTTAAAAAACATAAGCAGAGAAATAAAGAACAAAAAATAATCATCATCAAAAAGAAAACCATGGAGAAGATCAACACAGTCAAAAGATGGCTCTTTGAAAGGACCAATGAAAATGATAAACTGAAACTGGCAAATAACCAATGTCAGAAATCACCACACTAGAGATGCTAAAGATATTGTAAACAGCTTTGTATTAAATTATGAAAATGAGACATCATGGACTAATGCCTAGAAAAAAAAGAGTTTCTCAAAAACTGACGTAAGAAAAGAGAACATCCAAGTAGGCCATGAAAAAAGTTTAACCTGCAATTTTAAAACATTTCCTTGAAGAAAAATCTACACCTATAGGGTTTGAATAGTAATACCCAAGAAACTTTTTTAAAGAATTATTTATTTGTTATTATTTTTTAATTTGGTCAGAAAGAGAGAGAAAGTGAGAAAGCAAGCCACCTTGTCCAGAACTCAAACCACAATTGGCCATATGGGAGTCCAGCGCCTTAACTACCATGCCACCTGCTGGTC